AGGGCGGGTGCAGAAAAAGGAAATCAACAGAGGGCGGGTGCAGAAAAAGGAAATCAACAGAGGGCGGGTGCAGAAAAATGAAATCAACAGAGGGAGGTGCAGATGGGAATAAATGAGGAGGGTGGTAAGTCGGGCAAGTCACCAAATTCGGTTGCTAGAAAGTCGTCAAGTGGGTAGTCGTTTGGAATAAAACGTGGGATGTGGCTACCTAGAGATTATCAATCAGTTATAACAGAATCATTGAGGCGCCTTAAAAAGAGCCGTGGAAAGGGGTGGTAGTTTGGAACAGTAGAGGAGGTGTGGGGGGGTTGGCGGGGAGGGTTACAGACTCGACAAAACTATGCCAGTTGCAGCTGGTGTGGCATAGACATAATGGTGGACAGTTTAGAAGCGACTGAGAGTTTCTTGCGAGGGATTCGACAAGTCTCAAAACCAATATTTTATCACGGAGTGGCAAAGATATGCGGGTGGACCGTTTGGGAGAGGAGAGGAGAAGAGGTTGTGGGGTTGGTGACTCGAACCATACCAGTTACATGCAGCTGGGGAAGCACAGATGCTGGTGTGGTGTGGTTTGGTGTGGTGTGGTGTGGTGTGGTGTGAAAGTGAGTGAGAGTGTCTTGGGGGATGCTTCTATCAGCAGCACTCATGCATGCTGCAGGCGTGACTTCTGGATGGAGCTGATGCGACACCGCGAGGAGAGGAGCGAGGAGCGGAGTGAGGAGGGGGGTGAGGAGGGGCTTGAGGAGCGGAGTGAGGAGGGGAGTGAGGAGGGGAGTGAGGAGGGGAGTGAGGAGCGGAGTGAGGAGGGGAGTGAGGAGGGGAGTGAGGAGGGGCTTGAGGAGCGGAGTGAGGAGGGGAGTGAGGAGGGGAGTGAGGAGGGGCTTGAGGAGCGGAGTGAGGAGGGGAGTGAGGAGGGGAGTGAGGAGGGGCTTGAGGAGCGGAGTGAGGAGGGGAGTGAGGAGGGGAGTGAGGAGGGGCTTGAGGAGCGGAGTGAGGAGGGGAGTGAGGAGGGGAGTGAGGAGGGGCTTGAGGAGCGGAGTGAGGAGGGGAGTGAGGAGGGGAGTGAGGAGGGGAGTGAGGAGCGGAGTGAGGAGGGGAGTGAGGAGGGGAGTGAGGAGGGGCTTGAGGAGCGGAGTGAGGAGCGGAGTGAGGAGGGGAGTGAGGAGGGGCTTGAGGAGCGGAGTGAGGAGGGGAGTGAGGAGGGGAGTGAGGAGGGGAGTGAGGAGCGGAGTGAGGAGGGGAGTGAGGAGGGGAGTGAGGAGGGGCTTGAGGAGCGGAGTGAGGAGGGGAGTGAGGAGGGGAGTGAGGAGGGGCTTGAGGAGCGGAGTGAGGAGGGGAGTGAGGAGGGGAGTGAGGAGGGGCTTGAGGAGCGGAGTGAGGAGGGGAGTGAGGAGGGGAGTGAGGAGGGGCTTGAGGAGCGGAGTGAGGAGGGGAGTGAGGAGGGGAGTGAGGAGGGGCTTGAGGAGCGGAGTGAGGAGGGGAGTGAGGAGGGGAGTGAGGAGGGGCTTGAGGAGCGGAGTGAGGAGGGGAGTGAGGAGGGGAGTGAGGAGGGGCTTGAGGAGCGGAGTGAGGAGGGGAGTGAGGAGGGGAGTGAGGAGGGGCTTGAGGAGCGGAGTGAGGAGGGGAGTGAGGAGGGGAGTGAGGAGGGGCTTGAGGAGCGGAGTGAGGAGGGGAGTGAGGAGGGGAGTGAGGAGGGGCTTGAGGAGCGGAGTGAGGAGGGGAGTGAGGAGGGGAGTGAGGAGGGGCTTGAGGAGCGGAGTGAGGAGGGGAGTGAGGAGGGGAGTGAGGAGGGGCTTGAGGAGCGGAGTGAGGAGGGGAGTGAGGAGGGGAGTGAGGAGGGGCTTGAGGAGCGGAGTGAGGAGGGGAGTGAGGAGGGGAGTGAGGAGGGGCTTGAGGAGCGGAGTGAGGAGGGGAGTGAGGAGGGGAGTGAGGAGGGGCTTGAGGAGCGGAGTGAGGAGGGGAGTGAGGAGGGGAGTGAGGAGGGGCTTGAGGAGCGGAGTGAGGAGGGGAGTGAGGAGGGGAGTGAGGAGGGGCTTGAGGAGCGGAGTGAGGAGGGGAGTGAGGAGGGGAGTGAGGAGGGGCTTGAGGAGCGGAGTGAGGAGGGGAGTGAGGAGGGGAGTGAGGAGGGGCTTGAGGAGCGGAGTGAGGAGGGGAGTGAGGAGGGGAGTGAGGAGGGGCTTGAGGAGCGGAGTGAGGAGGGGAGTGAGGAGGGGAGTGAGGAGGGGCTTGAGGAGCGGAGTGAGGAGGGGAGTGAGGAGGGGAGTGAGGAGGGGCTTGAGGAGCGGAGTGAGGAGGGGAGTGAGGAGGGGAGTGAGGAGGGGCTTGAGGAGCGGAGTGAGGAGGGGAGTGAGGAGGGGAGTGAGGAGGGGCTTGAGGAGCGGAGTGAGGAGGGGAGTGAGGAGGGGAGTGAGGAGGGGCTTGAGGAGCGGAGTGAGGAGGGGAGTGAGGAGGGGAGTGAGGAGGGGCTTGAGGAGCGGAGTGAGGAGGGGAGTGAGGAGGGGAGTGAGGAGGGGCTTGAGGAGCGGAGTGAGGAGGGGAGTGAGGAGGGGAGTGAGGAGGGGCTTGAGGAGCGGAGTGAGGAGGGGAGTGAGGAGGGGAGTGAGGAGGGGCTTGAGGAGCGGAGTGAGGAGGGGAGTGAGGAGGGGAGTGAGGAGGGGCTTGAGGAGCGGAGTGAGGAGGGGAGTGAGGAGGGGAGTGAGGAGGGGCTTGAGGAGCGGAGTGAAGAGGGGAGTGAGGAGGGGAGTGAGGAGGGGCTTGAGGAGCGGTGAGGAGGGGAGTGAGGAGGGGAGTGAGGAGGGGCTTGAGGAGCGGAGTGAGGAGGGGAGTGAGGAGGGGAGTGAGGAGGGGCTTGAGGAGCGGAGTGAGGAGGGGAGTGAGGAGGGGAGTGAGGAGGGGCTTGAGGAGCGGAGTGAGGAGGGGAGTGAGGAGGGGAGTGAGGAGGGGCTTGAGGAGCGGAGTGAGGAGGGGAGTGAGGAGGGGAGTGAGGAGGGGCTTGAGGAGCGGAGTGAGGAGGGGAGTGAGGAGGGGAGTGAGGAGGGGCTTGAGGAGCGGAGTGAGGAGGGGAGTGAGGAGGGGAGTGAGGAGGGGAGTGAGGAGCGGAGTGAGGAGAGGGTGGGACGGGAAGCACAGTGCAAGGCGGGTGGTGGTGCATGCAAGGGCAGCAGAAGTACTCTGTGGTCAGCCCGTTGCGCTGGATGGAGCTGATGAGAGGAGCGAGGAGGCACAGCGAGGGCAGGGCGAGGGAACAGCAAGGAGGCACGGCGAGGGCAGGGCGAGGGAACAGCAAGGAGGCACGGCGAGGGCAGGGCGAGGGAACAGCAAGGAGGCACGGCGAGGGCAGGGCGAGGGAACAGCAAGGAGGCACGGCGAGGGCAGGGCGAGGGAACAGCAAGGAGGCACGGCGAGGGCAGGGCGAGGGAACAGCAAGGAGGCACGGCGAGGGCAGGGCGAGGGAACAGCAAGGAGGCACGGCGAGGGCAGGGCGAGGGAAACAGCAAGGAGGCACGGCGAGGAGGCATGGCAAGGAGCAAAGCGGGACGAGGAATGGAAGGAGAGGAGGGCAGACATATGGGCGGAAGGGAAGTGAGCGGAATGAGACAATGAGGGAAGCACTCATTTACAGTATTTTGTGCATGTGGTAGCAGGTGGGCACATGGCAGGTGGGCACATGGCAGGTGGGCACATGGCAGGTGGGCACATGGCAGGTGGGCACATGGCAGGTGGGCACATGGCAGGTGGGCACATGGCAGGTGGGCACATGGCAGGTGGGCACATGGCAGGTGGGCACATGGCAGGTGGGCACATGGCAGGTGGGCAGCAGAGGAGGAATCAGGAAGCGGGGAAGCAAGAACCATTATCTCTCTCCGACGCATGTGAGGAAAGGTGGGGAAGCAAGAACCATTATTACGTAACACTTATGAGGAAAGGTGGGAGGAAACGCACGATTGGCCCAACCCAACTGTCGCCAGTGCAACGCATGTGAAAATGGCAGCACTGTAAAGAGTGGGGATGTGGAATGACTGACAGGAAGGAGAGTGCGGTGAGGGAGGAGAAGGAGAGAGGGATGGATCCAGTGATGCTGTTGTTGTCTGCTCGCCTGCCATGCCATGACGTGACACACATCAACCGTGCCATGCCATGCCATATGCCACGCCTTGCCATGCCATGCCATGCCATGCCATGCCGTGCCATGCCATGCCATGCCATGCCATGCCATGCCATCTCCCCCCAACCCATCCCATGCAAACCCATACCATGCCATGCCATACCATCCCATGCAATGCTATGACATGCCATGCCGTGCCATATCATAGCACATGATGTGACACTCCATGCCATGCCATGTGATGCAATGCAAGATTTGTATGAGACTGACTTCACTTTTGAGAAATCTCAAGAGTGATTTGAATCATAGTAGGTAGGTGAATGGAGGGATGGCGACCTACCTAAACCGAGTGATTGGAGCGAAGTGATTGGAGCGGAGTGATGTAAAAGAGTAGGAAACACTTGAATCAGGAAAGTATGACAATCAGGTATAACATAAAGAAGCAACGGAGACTTACAAGGAACTATACATACATGGCATCATGTGCTCCATGTACCTACCACCATACATGGCGTCATGTGCTCCATGTACCTACCACCATACATGGCGTCATGTGCTCCATGTACCTACCACCATGCATGGCGTCATGTGCTCCATGTACCTACCACCATACATGGCGTCATGTGCTCCATGTACCTACCACCATACATGGCGTCATGTGCTCCATGTACCTACCACCATGCATGGCGTCATGTGCTCCATGTACCTACCACCATACATGGCGTCATGTGCTCCATGTACCTACCACCATACATGGCGCAATGTACAAGGTAAAGTAGGTAACTTTAGAGTCGACTCAAAAGGTAAAGTAGGTACCCGGAGTGACGGAGACGTAAACATGTCGCAAACAAGCCTTGGTTATGCTAGCCGGCTCAAAGAAAGAATCGAAACGCACATGGAGCGAAGAAGCTTCGGATTGCCCATGGTGGATGGCAGTGAGCCTGAGATGCTGTTGTGTGAGAGGTCACTGTGGGGGGGCGATAGGGGGAGTATGGGGATTACATGGAATAGAGGGAGAGCAGGGCCGTTTGAGTGAGTGGCCCGAAGGGAACAGATGAAGGGGGGAGCTTGCACGTGTCGTCAAGTCAGAACGCTCAATGCAATGAAACAGTGTGAGGAGGATCACTAGTAAGAGTGCGGAGAGGAGGGAGGAGAGGAGGGTCAAGAGAAGGAAAGCGGGGAGGAGAGGAGGGGAATGAGAAGGAACAGGGAGCGGAGGGAGGCGGGTCTCACAGGCCTTGCAGGCTGGAGAGCCCGCCAATGGCTTGTGGCAGACTAACTACCTGTGAGGCGGTAGGTGTCTTTTGAGTCGACTCTAAACTCACAGGCCTTGCAGGCTCGAGAGCCTGCCGATGGCTTGTGGCAGACTGCCTGTGAGGCGGTTGGCCTCCATGCTCCTGCCATGCGCAATGAGCAACGACGGATGGGTGAGTGAGTGATGGGCGGCAGTGCAGAGAGCAGCATAAGAATTGGTCTAAGTTGGGGTTCACGAGCTTCACACACTGCCAGGGAAGGTCATGGCAGAGCAGAGCACAGTGGTGTTCACTGATTGGGGAAGGCAGGCAGGCAGGATTCTTGTCAGTCGAATGGCCTCCCCTCTCGTGCAATGAGTAATGGGCCACGATCATGGGAGACAGCGCAGTGCATAGCACCACACCATGCATGAGACACACACAGACTGACAGGGAGACGAGGTTTTGGAGTTTGGAGATGGAGGGTGGAAAGGCAAGCCAGTCAGTCAGTCAGTCGTGTCAAGACAGACAGCACTGCACAGCACAGCACAGCACAGCACAGCACAGCACAGCACAGCACAGCACAGCACAGCACAGCACAGCACAGCACAGCACAGCACAGCACAGCACAGCACAGCACAGCACAGCACAGCACAACGCAGCACAGCACAGCACAGCACAGGATAGCACAGCACAGCACAGCACAGCACAGCACAGCACAGCACAGGACAGCACAGCACAGCACAGCACAGCACAGCAGAATGCATTCATGAGGCACAGACAGACCGACTCACAGGAAGGCGAGGTTTTGGAGCTTGGAGATGGAAGCTGGAAAGGAGCCGGTGATGATGTTGTTGTCCAGCCAGCTGGGGGCGGCACAGCAGTGGGGGGAGGGAAGTAGGGGAGAAGGTAAGAACGGGGATAATGATTGGAACAACAGCTCACAGGTACATCGACAGAAACAGCCATTTTGGATTCCGAGCAGCAGCAGCAGCTGCAGCAGCAGGCGCTCACATGTAGGAGAGGTCTGAGAGGCGGCTAATGGTTGACGGGATGCTGCCAGAGAAGCGATTGTGAATGCCGTTGCTGCACGTGGGTGGGAGGTGAAATAAAAGTGGGGGGAGATGTGGATGGAGTGGGAGGGAATGAAAACAATGGGGGGAGATGGATGGATGGAAGAGGGCCAGCGCCGGCAACATGAGGAGGAAGACGAACCGTGTGTGGACAAGGACAAACAAAAAACACCTATTTGAGTTGACTCAAATAGCGGCCGTTTGAGTTGACTAAAAAATGTCCGCACGTCTCTTTACTCGACTCACAGGTGCTGCAGGCGCCTCGAGCCAGCGAGAGGAGCGAGCGAGCCGGTGAGATTGTTGCCGGGAAGAATGCTGCAGGGGAGGGATCGGAGGGAGTGCAGTGGGGTTGGAGGCAGGATGGGATTGGAGGGGCGGGTCACATGGGATGACGCGGGAATGCAGGGGGAAATGGGGGGGACAGGGGGGTTGAAAGGGGCGGATCAGGGAAACTGCAGGGGGAAAGGAGAGAACGATGGGCAGGGAGGGGGAAGAGAAGGGTGGGATTGTCGCAAGGAAGATTGCCGGGAGAGCAAAGGTAGGCACGAGAGAACGAAGGGACAGGGTTAGGGTCAGCATTTGGTGAGAGACAGGCAGAGCAACGAGTGCACGCACAGCATGATGAGGTTGGTGAGGCGCGAGAAGCCCGAGGACAGCGAGGACGAGAGGCCCACCCGCGTTAGCTCCCTGCGGAGAGGATTGGGGTGGTGAGAGGTGGAGTGGAGAGGAGGGGAGTGGAGTGGAGTGGATTGTGAGTGTCCTTGAAGAGACATTTTCCTGAAGAGAACACTCGCAAGTGTCAAGGCACAGAGGCGGGACAAGCCTTTGTGAGCGATTGTAGTCAAAAGAGAAACGAAGAGAAGAAAAAAAGGCTTACATGCGTATCAAGGAAGTGAGGCGGGAGAAGAAGTGGGGAATGGTGCAGGAGAAGATAGTGCCGTCCAAGCTCCTGGTGGTGCCCGCATTCAGAGGGAGAGTGGTGTGGATGGGGGGGCGAAGAGGAGGATCAGATGGACATTTTGAGTCGACTCAAATGAAGAAGAGGGGAATGGGGTTGACAAGATAGTGCCGTCCAGACTCCTGATGGTGACGACGGCATTCAGAGGGACGGAGGCGGATCAAATGGGCATTTTTTTGGTCAAATCAGATGAAGAAGTGGGGAATGGGATTGACCAGAGAGTGCCGTCCAGGCTCCTAGTGGTGGATCAGGTGGAGTTAATAACAGATGGGGACAGACAGATGGGCATAGCAGAGTGGGCAAGAAGGGGCGTGAGAGAGGGAGAGAGAGTGACAGCAAAGAGTAACGGCCAGCGATGGAATTCTGTGTGCAGAGAAGGGGATGCATTGCCTTGCCTTGCAAAGGGTTCGATTCGATTTGCCTCAGAACGCCTCACAGTGATTCGAGCCTTACAATGACTTGAGCTGCTTCAGTTGGGAGAGGGATGCAGGGAATGAGCCGCCCGCCACTGAGCTGGAGATTTCCCTGCAGCGATGGTGGAGAGGGGCATAGGACGAGAGCCGCACAAGGTTGATTGAAGGTGTATAGGGTTTAGGGTTAAGGGTTCAGTTGAGATGTGAATGCAGGGAGTGATCCCCCTGCCACTGAGCTGGAGATTTCCCTGCGGTGATGGTGGAGAGGGGCATAGGACGAGAGGGGCATAGGACGAGAGCCGCACAAGGTTGATTGAAGGTGTATATGGTTTAGGGTTAAGGGTTCAGTTGAGATGTGAATGCAGGGAGTGATCCCCCTGCCACTGAGCTGGAGATTTCCCTGCGGTGATGGTGGAGAGGGAGAGAGGGAGTGACGAGAGCCTCGCAAGGGTGTGAGCAAGAACCTCGGAGCGGTTTGAGTCGGTTCAGCTGGGTCATGGATGCAGGGAATACACCCCCCTCCCCTCCAACTGAGTGAGAGATCTCCCTGCGGCGATGGTGGAAAACGGGAGAGGACGATGATGGTGGAATCAGGGACAAAGTGACGAGGGATGAGCACGCTGCAGCTTATACAACAGCACAGCAGCACAGCCATTGTGCAGCTGACAGTGCGTGCAGCGATACAGCTTGCAACGAACACATAGTGATTGGGTGTACAGTGAAGGCGACAGGTTGACGGGTCGTACAGGGAAGTGAGGGAGGTGAGCTGGCCGATGATAGAGGGAATGCTTGGCATGCGCGTGGGCGGAATGGAGGACGAAGAGAGCCGCCTGTGAGCAGGGGAGAAGAGGGCACAAGAAAGGTTGAGATTTGAAGTGCCTTTGGGTTAGCGGCAAATTGAAAAGAAGCTTTAAAGTGCCTCCGGACCGGATCAGGGGAGAGGGAACAGCACAGCGTTACCTTGCAGGCAGAACAAACGTCTCCTTGAAAAATCCATGAGTTTGAAAAAACATCTCCTCTCCATGTGAATCTCATGGGACCGATGGGGATTTCTGAGTGAAAAGTGAGTGGCACAGAGCAGGCAGCAGGATGGAAAGATGGATGGCTTACTCACAGGGATTGCAGGCGCACGAGAGACAGAACCTCCCGAGGGATAGAGAGCATGGAGACGAGCATTCTGTAGAGGAGGGGGAGAGGGGAGAGGGGTGGAGCAGAGAGGAACCGAAGCAGACGGAGGGAGGAGAGAGGGAACAGGGGGGAAGGGTATGGAAGAGGAGACGTTTCAGTGGTGAGAATGAGCGGGCGCATGGCATTCGTTTGGGTTCCAGGAGCTCAGGGCGGTCTGACTTCTGGGAGCATGCACACGACGACAGGAGCTTGCTGCAGCAGGAGAGAGCTTCCGCACGCCACGAGGTTGCCTTGTGTCTAGCAGCGAGACGGATATAATATCCAGCAACACGCGCGCAAAACCATATGATATCCTGGCAGAGGTATGCAACGTCTATGGAGAGCGCCAAGAGAGTGAGCGCTGGCAGCTGAGAGGCCCTACTGACAATCTTCAAAAGTGATTCGGATATTGCTGGACGGACCATTCCTAGCCGAGCAATGTTCGACACATATAAAGCTCACAGAGCGAACACATGTAGACTTTCTTATACGTACAGTGAGGTCACGTATCCCTGCGCGTCACACTTTATCTCCCTTATAAGGTCGCAATCTTCCCCCACCTCGACGCCCCCACTCGTCCCATTGCCACCCGCGCTGCCGCTGCCCGTTCCCCCTGACGACGGGCCTCGCACGGTCTGCCGCTGGCTCAGAATGACGCTCAGTGCTAACCCTGGGAATACGGAAACGGGGAAATGGGATAGTGCGGGTGAGTCAAGGATGAGGGAACGCTGGGTGGATTTGCCCATTCTTCCTGATGGCCCCGCCCCCCCGGCCTGGCGCTGGCTCAGAATGACGCTCAACGCGATCCCTGGGGAATACCGGAATGGGAGATTGCGGAGGGGGTGGACGTGTGTGAACGTTGGGGTTGAAAGGGGAAGGAGGGGGGAGGGGGAATGCTGGGTGGCATTTTGGCCGTCCCCCCTGATGACGGCCCCCGCACGGCCTGACGCTGGCTCAGAATCACGCTCAACGCAATTCCTGGGGAATACCGGAATGGGGGAACGGGATAGCGGAGGGGGTGGACGTTGTTCGGCGGATGAAGGTGGGGGTGGGGGGGGTTGGGGGGGTTGGGGGGGTATACTCATCGGCAAAAGACAAGATGGCAAGGGGATCGCTTGGGCGTCTGCCCGTTACCCCTTGTTACCCCCTGACGCACCACGCGCGGCGGCCTGCCGCTGGCTCACTCAGAATCACGCTCAACGCATTTCTGGGGAATACCGGAAAGAAGAGAGGGGGAGCGGGGGAGGGGGGGAGGTGGGGGGTGGGGGTTGTTGTGGGGGAGAATGGGGGAGGGGAGGGATGGTGGAGAAGGGGGGGTGGAAGTGGGGGTGTGGGAGAGGGAAGGGAGTAGGGAGTCCCCCCTCGGAGGGGGGAGGGGGGATGGGGAAACTTGATGGCAATGAGTCGGAAAGGTGAATGCAACCTCGAGGTAATCTGACAGTAGAGTGAGTGTCTTTGTGGCTGCGCTTCCGCGGCAAGGCAAAGACGCGACGCGACGCAAGGGTGGGGTATGGAAGAATGACGCGACGCCAGGGTGGGAGGGGGCGCCGGCGGGCCGGCGAGCGAGTGCACTAACCTGAGGTTGGAAAAAGCGAGAGCGACTCACTCTGCGACTCGCGAATCGGGAGAGCGTCGCTCGACGGCACCGCGAACGCTGCGAGCAGGCATGCTGCGACGATCGCGACGACGGCTGCTCGAGTCGCACGTAGTGGTAACTGGCGAACGGCCTTTGATGATGTCGCGACGCGTCGCGACGTCGCAATGTTTCGCGACGCCGCCGCGGCAGTCGCATTCCCTGTCGCAGTCGTAGTCGTAGTCGCAGTCGCAGTCGCAGTCGTTGTCGCAGTCGCATTTGCGTTCGCATCATGTCTATCATATAACGACCCCGAGTCATATCGCTCGAATCTATCGATTTCCACAGCTCGTATAAGCCCGATAGCTCTTCGTACAATGGTAGCACTGGTACGCGGTGCGGGGTCACCACCAAAACTATTCCCAGATTTGGCGTTGCGCGCTACGCAGTCTCCGGACGACATTGCCGTGCGTTCCCGCCAATGCGGCCGCTTGGCATAGCAAGCACGTCCGAAAGGACTTATCCGTCTCTGATGTTAGTAATAGTAATGCTGCGATGTGGTTCGCCTCGACTAGTAATAGTCGCGCACGATGCCACTATTACTACTACTTCCGAAGCAGGCTCAAAACTACAATATCGTAAATCGCGCGGAAGATACGCTGTAATGGGAAAGCTCTAATGGACCATTACAGCGTATCTGTTCTCCCTGGCGTATTTCCGTCCTCCAGCGACGTCGTTCCCCCTCGCTCGTGGTTTGGGCTCGCTCTTTTCTTGCGGCGCGTTACTTTCCTTCCTGCTCGTCGAGCTCCAAACGTTTCTGCGGCGTGGTTCCGTTCTTCTGCTCGTCGATCACCCGCGCGGATGAATACACAGACGCGCGAAATTCGCGAGGCCGCCGGGAATTGCGGTCCGATCGGACAGCATGGTGTGTAGTGTACTCCAGAAACAGCTGGCGGTAATCGTGCATTGTTAATCAACGCCTACTATTTGATAAGCCACCCGAGAACGCGGACGAATTTGACACGTGTACTCCAGAAACAGTTCGGCAAATCTGCATATCCGATCCGCCATTGATATGCGCCTCCTTTTGTTCAGACTCGTCCGACTGTGCAAGATGGCCAGAGGCCCATCTTTTGATCGGACAAGTCATGGCGCGTGGAAAATGAGTCAGCAATCTATATATTGCAATAACCATACAGCTCACGGCCATGGAAGCAGAACACCTGTGTGCAGACGAGGCCTTCCCCCGAACCTCTGTTTCCTTGTTGTGCTGCCAAACAGAGAATGGGCTACATGGCATTACCGCTTTTCAACGATGCGTACCGAATGGTATCGTACAGTAGAAACAGTATCTGAATTGGAAGGCATTTCTTTGGTTTGGTTAGGGGGAGGAAGAGGGCGACCAAGGAGCAGAACGGAAAGGTGTGATCACTTTCATGTCGGTGCCAGGCGAAGGGCGAATCGCACATTTATTTGGCGGGAGTTTTCGATTCTGCATACAGGTCGTGTACAGCAAGCAACATGCTGAGGTCAGCACAAAATCCGATTCCCTCTGGGGACAACTGGGAATGGAATCCATCTCGGCTGGTGGATTGGATACTGTACACGCAGGGTTCGGTGTCACACACACGGAAGCACAATTGCAGCGGGCGTGGCGATCGAAAGAGCTCATTCCCGTTTCAAGCCGCTTTTAACCAGCGGGCAAGCAGGCTTTTGTAAAAAAGGCATATACCCACCAATATCGTTAGGCATGCTTTTGATACGGCAATACGCTCATTTATTTGTTGTTTTGTTTCCGTACATATGGCAGAAAATAAGGATGGAGCTCAGTCTGCACACACACATACACACACACACACATACACATACACACACACACACGCACACACGCACACGCACGCACACATACACGCGCGCGCGTGTGCAGTTGGGTGGGAAAACACCACAACATAACTACAGGTGCTTTAGACGGTCGCCCAATGCTCCCCACTTTCAAAATAACATAAAGGCAAGATTCGTGATGCTATGATTGGGGGAAAGCTTAGTGCATGCACGCACATGCATACGCGCGCGTGCGTACACACACACACGCACACGCACGCACGCACGCACGCACACACGCACGCACACACACACACACACACACACACACACACAATACATATTGTCAACGGGAGTTGTGTTAGGCCCCGTCCTCGCTTGGGCGGAGCCGACCTCGTGGTCGGGTGTACGGGGGAGTGCAGCCGACCTGCAGCAAAAGGCGAGCTGGTCGACGAGGTGGTTGACCTGCGCGGGGGCCACTGCACCGACGCCGACTTCGAGTAGCCGACTGGGTGTGATCGGCTGACTGGTGTACTTGTCGACGTAGAGCTGGTCGACCAGAAGTGTTGTCGACCTGGAGCTGGTCGACCAGGGGAGAGGTAGACCTGGTGAGGTCGCCTGGAGGTGGTCGTCGACTTGGGTGGTCGACGGGCACGTAAAGAAGCAGCCGGTCGACGTGGTTGCCCGGTCGATCATGTTACCTAGGTGACGAGGTTCTGCGGAGGCACGCGACAGTCGCCCAAGTGAGGGTGGTGGTTGTGAGGGTGGTGGTGGAAAGAGTGGTGGTGGGGAGAGTGGTGGTGGTGATGGTGGTGGTGGGGATGGTGGTGGGGGGGAAGGGTGATGGTGGTGAGGGTGGTGGTGGAGATAGTGGTGGTGGTGATGGTGGTGGTGGGGATGGTGGTGGTGGTGATGGTGATGGTGGAGATGGTGGTGGTGGGGAGGGTGGTGGTGGGGATGGCGGTGGTGGGGAGGGTGGTGGTTGTGATGGTGGTGGTGGTGATGGTGGTGGGGATGGTGGTGGTGGCGATGGTGGTGGTGGCGATGGTGGTGGGGATGGTGGTGGTGGGATTGCTGTATAGTAGCGAAAAAGGAACACCACGGTTTAGATAGAATGGACAGATATGGTGGAAATTGAACACCACAATTATGACATTATTTGTGCACCAGAAAGAAAAGAAAAGAAAAGAAAGGAAATATATATATATACGTATATATTCGACTCATAGTGATTACGATCAAATAAAAAAAAAAATCACATGTGATCTACATGAAGTTATCTGACAAACCACATGAGCAGGGAAAATACTCAACTGACATACAACTTGGAATGAGTAGGTGGGAACTTACGAGGTCTGGGTGGGGGAAGGGAGGTGATGAGCGGCGGGAGGTGAGGCTTGGGGGCCGGGGAGAGGGTGGAAGGTCGGGAGGAGGGGGGTGCGGAGGGGGTAATGGAGGTGAGGGCAGGGGAAAGGGAGGAGGTGAGGGAGGGGAGGAGGGAGGAGGTGAGGGAGGAGGAGGGGGAGGAGAAGGCGGAGTAGGTGCCAGAGCTGGCTGTTGTGCTGCAAAACAGATGGGTTTGGAAGGGGGGGGGGAGGAAGGGGTGTGAAATGAAGAGGGGTAATATGGGGGGAAGAAGCCGAGAACATAGGGGAGAAAACATATGTGAAGGGGAGAGACACTGGGTGGGATGAAGTGAAGAGGGAACGAAGGCAGGTGTGGAAGTGAGGTGTTTAGAGGATAACGGATGGGTCATGAGGAAAGAGAATGCATGAAGGCACGAGTAAAGGGGAGGAGAACTGTAAAAAAACATGTTGTGTGTACACATACATACATACATACCTATCTCTGGCAGGTCCGTTACTCAGACTTTTTTTTGAAAATTTACAAAAGTCCCTCAAAAGCCATGTTGTATGCACACATACATACATACCTATCCCTGGCAGGTCCTTTACTCTCATGCATTAGTACGTAACCGTTGGTTTTCAAGAACTCCAAAAAGACCATGTTATGTGCCCACATTCTCTCATATCCTTCATACATACATACATACCTGTGAAAGGAGTTGGGGAAGGGGGTGGTGATGGGGGTGGGGGTGACGGTGGCGGTGGCGAGAGGAGTGGGGGAGGTGGAGGAGGGGAGGGAAGAGGAGGAGAGGGAGGAGGAGGAGAAGGTGGGCTGTGAGGAGGAGGAGAGGGCGGAGGGGAGGGAGGAGGAGGAGAGGGCGGGCGGGAAGGAGGCGGAGACGGGGAAGGATTAGTTGCAAAGGAGACAAGGGGTTGAAAGTGAAAAGATGGAAGGGGAAAGGGTGAGAAAAAAAGGAAACGAGTGAGTAGTGTGGGAGCGAGAGAAAAGCATGATCAGGGAGCTTTATGTGTGTGTGACTCTTGGAAGGAGGGAATGTCACGTACTCTGTGACTTTGTCGTGTGGCTTTCAAGAGACTTGATCATAGCACATAAGGTCAACTATGACGTATCACTTGGATTAGCAATCTCATGTAGTTCACAAAGCACTGTCCATGCTAAGCAGAAGACAGAGAGTACAAAGACAGGTGCGAACAAAGAGGGGCAAGTAGAGTGGGTGCAGAGACAGTGGATTGAACAGGGAGGTGTTCTACTGCTGCCCACCGATCTTGGGGCAGAGAGGGCAGTGCAAAGGGAGTGGGAGTGGTGCAAGGTGGTGGTGGTGTTTTCATTACTAGTCTTGCATTGCGTGCATGTGAGGATCTGGTTCAGGAAAGTGAAATCTATTGAATGATTCACCTGGGTACAAGGCGAGGCTATACATAGGCTCGACACAAACGCTGTAACTCGGATGTTACTAGAAGTTTCTGCGGGTCGCGAAGCGTCCCGAACGGGTCCTTCTCGAATTCAGTAGAAGGCAATTCGGTGGCAACCGAAAAGCCTAGAATTCGGTGCACTCAACCTAGTTCGGTGCCTATAACTATAATAAATATAGTAAAGCAACGAACCTAGGAAATCAAGCAAATGCATGCAATATAATATAAAGCTAAGCTAGATAATGCATAATAAAGCAGAATCAAGCAAGTAAAGTCCAGCAAAGTCGGCGTACTCTCACACTGCAGAAGTAAGGGCAGAGAGAGCAGAAGGTGAGCGGAACAGAAGAGGAGGCGAGGAGGGAGGTGAGAGAGGGGGTAGGGGCAGAGGCAGGCGAGGGGCACTCCATGCCGTCGGTGACGCTCCTGTTTTTGTTGTTTGGGGGGGGGGGGGGGAGGGAGAGGAGGAGTGAGGGGGAAAAGCTGAATAGACAAGAAACACTGAAGGGATGGAGAGGTGAGGGACACTCCATGCCCTTGCTTGTGGATGGGAGAGACAAACATTGGGGGGTTAGGAGGAGGGAAGGGAGGAGGGAACAGCTGAGGGGGTTCAGAGGAGAGACACTTCGTGCCATGCTGCTGTTGAAGCTCCTGTTGTGTGGAGGGGGGGGTGAGAGGGGGGGGTGAGAGGGGGGGGGGAAAGGGGAACAGAGAAGAAACACAGAAGGGATGGTGAGGTGGGGGGCACTCTATGCCCTCGCTGATGCTCCTGTTGTGGCGGAGGGGAAAGACAAAGCAAGGTGAAGGTTAGGAGGGGAGGGACAGAACATGGTGGGGGTTAGGAGAGGGGAAGGGAAGGGGGGGGGGGGGGGGGGGGTTTGAGGAGTGGAGGCGACACGAGGAATATATGAATGGGTAATTTGAACACCGGCTGAGACACATATAATACGAGCTGGTTTTTGAGAATTCTAAAAAACCAACACACATGATTCTTCTTTTTTTTTAGTCGACTAAAAAACAAGGGGAGGAGTAGAGGAATGGGTCATTTGCACACCGATTGATAAAACATTTGATATTTCTTTTTCTCGGGAAGCGAGAGCACGAGTCGCACTTACCGGTGCACGCACGAGTCACACTCACAGGTGCACCATTCGCACTCACGCGTGCGAGTCACAATCAGTTGCATACTCACAGTTCATGAGCCTTGGGCAGCGAGCGAGCAGCTAAGGGACAACATTTCTTATAGTCGACCCAAAGATAGACTCACGATTGCATGAGCCTTAGGCATTGAGCGAGCACCAGAGGCACAACCCCTGTGAAGCGGTTCCCAGAGAGTTGGTTGGAGAGGGGTGGGCGAATAAGGGAGATGCTTGAGTGAGAGAAGATGCATGGGAAGGAGGATCTGCCATGCAAGGAGGTGTGGGGGAGAGTAAACACGCAGCAAAGGGGCAACACGGGTGGACGAATAGAGGAGATGTTTGAGTGAGAGAGAATGCATAGGAAGGAGGAACTGCCTTGCAAGGAGGTGTGGGGGAGAGTAAACAAGCACCAGAGGGGCGACACCTTGTGATGTGATACACGAGAATTGGATGATGTCGAAGAGAGAACGATGTTGCTTATTTATTAGGGAAGATAGAAGGAGGGGTGAGCACAGAGAAAAGGGATATGTAGGGAAGGCAGCGGGTGGGTGGAGAGGAAGGCGAAAGGGTGGGTGAAAGGAAGACAGGGTGGGTGGACGGCCGGAGAGGTTGTTGTTTTGCACATCGCTGTGAGGGAGGGATGGAGAAACAATGGGTAGAGAGTGGAGGGTGGAGAGGGGAGAGGGGAGGGATGGAAAGGGGAGACTGGAGTGGGGAGGGTGGACAAGGGAGGGATTTGGAGTGGAGGGATGGAGAAGGGGAGGGTGAAGAGGGGAGGGATTTGGAGTGGAGGGATGGAGAAGGGAAGGGTGGAGAGGGGCGCGATTTAGAATGGAGGGATGGAGAAGGGGAGGGTGGAGGGGGAAAGGATTTGGTAGTAGAGAGATGGAGAAGGAGAGGGTGTGAGAGTGGACGCAGAGGAGAGTAGCGATGGGACCCCTTACTCACGAAGTGACACCAAGTGCCCCTCTCGACGTGAAATGGAGCGCCCCTCCCAATGTGACATGGCGCCCCTCACTCACAATGTGCGATGACACCCCTCACTCGCAATGTGACATGACGCCCCTCACTCACTATGTGCGAAGGAACACTCCTCACTCACATCACTATGTGCCATGGAGCACGTCTCTCAATGTGCCATGCAGCACCCTCTCTATGCGCCAAGTAGCACCCTTCACTCACAATTTGTAGAAGGCAGGGTTGGTGACTAAAGGGTCAGGGAGGCGGCCTGATAGCTGGTTGTTGGCGAGCAGGTTGTGCAGCAGAGGGGAGAGGTCAAAGGGACTCAGCAGGAATCAGAGAGGGTGGAATCAGAGAGTAGGGATCAGCGGGAAGAATGTGAGGCGGAGGAATTCAAGGCAAGGAATCCAAGGGGTGAAAGAGAGGCGTCTCGGGGACTGCATGGGGGGCATGGGATGGATGGGTGGCGGCTCATTGCGTCCTGAGAGGCGCCTCACGGACTGCATCGCAAAAATCTAGGCCCTGTTGTGAATGGGATGGCCTATCGAGCAACTTTTCCGGAAGGTTTCCAGTCGTCATAAACTGCTGTACACATCCCCCACCAGGGTTTGGGGGGAACTTGGTAATTTTGCAACCGCAATCAACCCTGTTTTGCCCATTGGCCGTGTAAGAAAGTGTCTTAGGCTGCTTCCTGGAATGTGAATACGATTGATCTACGGATGACATTTCGAGCGATTTACTCAACGGTAGAGATCGTGTCTAAGATTCATTCTGTTTGTGGCATCGCACTTCGTGTCGCATTTGCTTCGGGGAGTTGGATGCTTGAATTTTTTTCCTTGTTGTGAGAAGTTCGATGTTCCGAAGATCTACGGCTCACATTTTCTGATCAATGTGGAGTTTCCAATGTGGCCATTTTAAGGAGGGACTCGTTATGTGCATGTGGTTCATTCTGTTTTTTTCGGCAGCGCGAAAGTTCTGACATAGCCCAAGCGACTATTGACGGGATTCCTGGGTTGGTAACGCGAGGAAAATTTTCATCGACACACACATGCGAAAAGTGTTCTGGAACGTTGGCAAACGATTTCTGCGCGGGGCCTGTAAACTGAATCGCCAGCAAAGCAACCGTGTTTCTTGCCAACTAAAGATTGTTACAGCAGGAGTCCAAATTGCAGATCAGCACATGAATCTTAATCACTGGAAATCTAGCTAAATGAAAAAAAAGGGACCACAATAGTAAGGCCAAGAGTGATGACCTATTGTCTACGTATGTTTATTCAGTGTTAAAGTAGCACAAGAATCTGGTGGAGACGATGAGGTGCGAAGAATCTTAAAACAGCAACAGTCTTATCGTGGCCTTGTGTAAGGAAACTTTCAACATTCCTTACCGCGTGCTTCAACACCGCGTAAAAAAAAGATGAAGACCACTGCTGCATTCTCTTTGAGGGTACATTCTCTTATGAACCGTGATACATGTATCAGTACAGTAACATGACTATTCCGGTGCATACTGTTACCTAGTTACTGTTAGAGTGAAAAAGATATTGGATAGGATAGGCCTGCTTTAGAGAATTGGTAGCGGAATTCCTGTGGTAGGAACCTTGTGCATAGTGAATTTATATGACAATATTTATCAGCCATATACTCTACGGGGTGCATTTTCTTGATATAACTGCTTTACATGCATTTCTACAGTGAATCCATCTCTTGCGCTTCTCTCTGTTATCGAGTCGCTGCGTGTAACTGTCTGGACAATTACGCCCGTTGCCATTCTTCGCTAGTGAGTCGTCGGTCCAGATGGTCATCAGTCACGACAGTTGACCTTTGCGACTGTTGACCTTCCTGCCCTTCTATGGGCTGATTCGATACTACTGCTAGCGCTGCTTCGATAGTGACGGTGTGAAGAAATGAGGAATGAATGAACTAGCAAGCAGGTGGGTACAAGTAGGAAAACCTAAAAGTGTTGTACCCCATATTGTCTACCCCACTACAGCCTACACAGACTATAGCATATGAGTTTGACACACCCCCATAGGCAAAGTGGGGGAGAACAAGAGGTCACAAGACCAATCAAGCAAAGCAAAGCAAGCTCAGGGTGGATCACAACGTCACCACACAGTCCGAGCACAAGTTCAAGGCCACAAGGCCAGTTCACATGCAAGATCATATATAAAGGTAAACAAGCAAGTGCAGGTATAGAAAGATCACAGTACAAGCAAGGTCAAGAAGTGAGCAAGTGAGGCCAAGTAGGCACAAGACCTAGCATCGTACAGAAGCGCTGATGATCACCAGGCGGAAGTGCCTTGGTAAAGATATCAGCATTGTTGGCCTGAGAGGCCACGTAAGCAAGGCGCAGCTGACCACGCTGCTGCAGCTCACGAGCAAGGAAGTAACGAAGAGCAATGTGCTTCGTTCTGTGCTCCAGTCTGTGCTCCCGACACAAGGCCAGCATGGCCTTGTTGTCTACGTACAGAACTGGAGGAGAACGAGGCGGCTCTCCTAGGTCAGTCAGCAGGTAGGTGAGCCAGCGTAGCTCCTGTGCAGCCATGGCCCCCGTGTAGATCTCAGCCTCACAACTGGAGCCGAGAACAGAAGACGAGCGGGTAGATCGCCACGAAACAGAGCCGGAGCCAAGGCTGAAGGTGTAACCCTGTGACGACCGCTGCGTAGCCTGGTCGTCAGCCCAAGAAGCGTCTGCGTGACCCGTGAGGACCACTCGACGTCGCCCTCCAAGCACTAGCCCCATGCCCGACGTACTGCACAAGTAGCGCAACACCCTTTTCGCTGCAGCCATGTGCTCTGGTCGGTGTCTCCCAGGAGCAACATAGCGTGCCAAGATGCTAAGAGGGTATGCAAGGTCAGGTCGTGTGCAGGTCATCAGGTACATGAGGCAGCCAACAAGCTCTGGGTACGGGCCACTCGGCTCTACGGACTCATCCGAAGGCAGAGCTGGGAGCGAGTGGCGAGTAGACAGAGGAGTGGCCTGAGGCGAGGAGTACGTGAAGTCGAAGCGCTGAAGGACCTGCTGCACCATGTGTGACTGAGTCAGGGTAATGGTGCGCTGTGCTCTGTCCCGGGTGATCTGCAAGCCAAGGTAGCTGCGCAGTTCACCCAGGTCTGTGCACGTGTGTCTCTTCTGCAGCTCGGACTTCACGTGGGCTAGTCCAGCAGTGTCAGCAGTGGCAAAGACCAAGTCGTCGACGTACACGAGAATGTAGAACGGCGGCAAAGAGGTGTCGGTGCACAGAAACAGCGACGGGTCGGTAGTAGAAGGAGCAAACCCAAGAGCCGCAAGTGTAGTCCTCAGTGTGTCGTGCCACTCACGGGGCGCCTGGCGGAGACCGTAGACTGGCCGCCGGAGGCTCCACTGGGTACCAGGGGGAAACGACCCAGTGAAGCTAGGTGGGCGGCGCAGCCAGATCTCCTCGTGCAGGCTGCCCTGCAGGAAAGCTGTGCTGAAGTCAAGAGAGTGAATCTCGTAGTCGCGCTGAGCGGCTATGTGCAGCAGCACCCGAAGAGTGGTCATCTTCGGGGTGGGAGAGAAGGTCTGAAAGTAGTCAACTCCCTGCCGCTGACTGAAGCCTCGAGCCACGTAACGCACCTTGAAGACAGGCGGAGAACCCGGCGGCCGCTTCACCCTGAAAATCCACATGCCACTGACGATGTTCGCCCCAGGTGGGGGAACCTCGTCGACGTAGGTGCCTGTGGACTTCCAGGAAGCCATCTCTGCGTCCATGGCTGACTGCCACTGTGAGGAGTAGGGACCCTCGATCGCCTCAGCGTACGATCGAGGAGTCGGGATGTCTGGTGCATCCGGGTCTCCCTCAGGGGCAATCAGCGTGGACACGAGATGAGGCAAAGGAGCAGGAAAACACTGGAACTCCTCCTGCCTGTCCTCAAGGACGTCCGTGCTAAGAGCACACTCACCCCCGACGGACGGAGGACAGACAGACTCAGACTCAGCAACGAGACGAGCGGCGTAGTCTAGACGACAGCGAGCAGCAAAGTCGACAAGCTCAGCAACTAAGGCAGACACAGCAGTGGACTCAAAGGAAGGGTCAGTGACAACAGTAGCCAGGAGACGCGTGATAGTAGGACTGGCAGCACGAAGAGAGTCAGACTCCGGGTCAGCATGAACAGGAAGAGAGGACTCTGGAGGAGACGGCAACGGGACACGCAGAGGAGCAGTAGAAGGACGCAGTGCCATCTGGTGTGTGCCTGGGACCGCAGGAGGACGCGGACGCGGAGCACGACTACTAGTGCGAGCAGCACGAACAGGCGACGCAGGATGAGACGCAGGTTCACGACGCTCAGCAAGACCTCCAGTAGGACCAGTGTAGGGAGAAGGAGCAGGTAGGGGGGAGGCGGGCTGTAACTGTGACCGCAACTGGACCGGCTGTGGACACTCTAAGGGAGGAGCAGGACCAGTAGAGGGCGGGAGACCAAGAACCTGCTCAAGGAGCGGAACGAAGTACGGCCGCGGCCGCGCAGCGCCTCCAGAACCAGCAGGGACAGTACCAGTACCCCCAGCGGCAGCACCAGCGCCAGCAGCACCTCCAGCTCCAACAGCGCCAACTCCAGCACCCTCAGACGCACCAGCGCCAGCAGCACCTCCAGCGCCAACACCCCCAGCAGCTCCAGCTCTAGCAGCTCTAGCTCCAGCAGCACCAACTCCAGCAGGACCGTCAGCAGCACCCCCACGCCCAGCAGCTCCAGTACCGCCAGTACGAGCACCTCCAGGACCAGTGGCTCCAGTAACTCCAGTGCCTACCCCAGGGTCAGCAGTAACAGCAACACCTCCAGCTCCAGCAGCACGGCTCCAGCGCCGGGCAAACCACTCGCGCAGCTCCTGTGGAGAGGGTAGCTCCCGCCTCGACGAAGCACCCGAAGGGGCCCCAAACCCAGCACCGCCAGAGGCCACACGAGTAGACCCAGCACCCCCAGGCTCCGCACCCCCAGGCCCAGCACCCCCAGACTCAGCACCCCCAGGCTCAGCACCCCCAGACTCAGCACCCCCAGGCTCAGCACCCCTAGCAGTACGAGAGTCAACAGCTACCTCGACAGGCTCGACTGCGTCTACCTGGGACACACCTGACGGGGCAGGACCCTGAGGGGGGAGGGGGTCTACCGGGGGGGGACCTGGCGCAAGGAAGAGCGGCGGCGGGGGGAGGGGTGCAGTGCGGTAGGGGAAGAGACGGTAGTAAGGAACCGACTCGTCAAACGTGACGTCCTGGGAGGACAGAACACGGCGCGAGGTGGGGTGGTAAAACTGCCAACCATGCGCGTCAGGGGGGAAGCCAAGGAAGACGCAGGGAACCGCACGGGGGGACAGCTTGTCCGCAGACAAGTCGCGGACAAACGCCCGAGATCCCCAGACACGAAACGCAGACGCATCGCCAACCTTCCCCGTCCACCGCAAGGTGGGGGAGGTCTCCGGCAAGGAGACCCGGGGCTGAAGGTTGATCTCATGCGCTGCGTACCGAACCGCAAACGGCCACAGAAAATGGGGAGCAGCCGCATAGATCATGGACGTACGAGCGACGTCCATGACCATGCCAATGCGGCGCTCAGCAATCCCATTTTGCTGTGGAGAGGCCGGAAGCGTGAAGGTCTGGCGGATGCCCTGTGCACGACAGAAGGCTCCCAGAAGGGCAGAGGAAAA